CGCTGTGTCCTAGGGAAGCGTCGCAGCACCCGGAGCATGCTGTGCCCTCCTGCCCTCCTGGTGCCTTCTCCCGCCCAGCACAGCGCCTGGCCACAGCAGGTGCACTGCACGCTTATTTTTAAAGTGAATGTGTGCGTCTTACGCCGCCGCCCCATTTGGGATACATTTGGGGGTGTGCAGAGGCTTCTCCGGACTCTTGAGTTTTGTCCTTGGTGAGACATGAGGTGAGGAGCCCCTCTGAAAGAACCTTCTGGCAGTGTCACCCGTGGGCACATTCAGCCCCTCACCTGGTCCCCTGACCCCAAGGTCATGGGGCGAGATGGAAGAACGGTCAAGAGAGTGAATTCAGTGATGCTCTGCAAGGAAAACCCCACACACAGATGCGGGAAAGCAAGAGCACACTAGAAATTACCTGTGAATAGCTCGGGAAATGTGTGTAGGTGTGGGCGGGTTAGCATGTAAATACAATGACCCCTGCTCCTGGAGACTCTGCAGACCACTGGTAAGTGGCATTTAATGAAAATGATCGCTGAAATAGTTAATACTTGTGCAGCCATTCTGCACATACACTAACAACATGTTACATGTATATAGTGCTTACTGTGTGCCAGGCAGGCATTGCTATAGGCACATTAGGTATATATTAATTATGCATATTAAGTCGTTAAATCATCACATCAGCTCTATGTACGGGGGAGGCGTATTCTTTGTTATTCCCATTTTTCAGAAGAGGAGGCCGAGGTATAGAGAGAAGCCACTTGCACCCACCATGACACAGACTCACAATTACCTGTCACAGGTCACACAACGACTAAGTGGGAGATAGGACTGGAATCTATAGATTTATCTCCTGGAGGGGACGTAGGGTATACGTGACCTGGTGTCTGAAAATCACTAGGAAGCAACTCCATCTTCATGAAACGGTGAGCAGAGACCAAAGCAAATGCTGAGCAAATGCTTGGAAGCAAAGCAACCACAGGGATGGCCTTGTTTCCTCGGTTCTTCTGGTTCTCAGCTCTTGCCCCAAGTTTCAACACTACTTTTCAACACTATTCAAACCGACAGGCACTGCTTACTTTCTCCCTTTCCAGTCTTCAGAAAGTACATCTTTCAGGACTTTTGACACGTTGCTTATTAGCTTGCTTTTCTCATATTCAGTGAGTAGATTTGGCGAACATTTGTTTATTCTTAGATTGTGACATGGCTGCTGGGTTTTCCTTCCTTGAAAGTGAGTGAGAATCAGCACACGTACGAAAACCCAGGGATTCTCAGTTACATGGCTATCAGAGCTTAGGCTTTGGAAGGGCATGACTGGCTTCCAGTTGTCTATGGTGTTGGTTTCTGCTAAGTGTCCAGGTCCCCTTTGGCGATGCATGAAGATTCTATCATCCATTAGACATTCAGAGGGCTCGGAATTGGACCAACCTGGATTTTAATCCTGGCTGTGCCAACTCCTGCTATTTAAGCTGGTCCTGTGGCTTTGCCACTGTATACCTCATTTTCCTCAGTTCTAAAATGATTATAGGAGTATCTACTTCATATGGTATTTAGGAGAATTAATAGAAATTCTAATTATAAAGCATGTATCACAATGACTGTTGCATATTAAGTATCCAATAAATTATAGGTCTGATGGTATAAATTATAGCAATGATGATGATGGTGATTTAGTTGAACATGTTGGGAGCTTATGAGTATTTTCAGCTGGAAGTCTCAAGTCTTCTCAATTTCCCAAGCATTCTCCATTTCCTTATCTCCTCTCAACAGACCTATTTCCAGCTGATGCTATCTCTGGCTTCTCTGTGGACATTTCTGATAAAGCGACCCAGGGGTGGGTATGCCTATTCAGGAGCCCCGGGGGCAACCCAGGTCTTCCAAGTTCTTCTAGCACATCTGCCTTTGGTTCCTTCTCAGTCTGAAGTAGCTTGAGGTAAAGTAAGATGCTTTACACATCCCCAGATGCCCTTAAAATGTGAATTGTCACAATTATCTTGCCTTTCTCAAGTCCATAGCTTTTATTTATTAGTTTTGCAAACATTAGGGAACAAAGACGATCATTTAGAAGCAACAAAATTTTTCACTTAAACCATGCTGCACCGTTTCCCCGGGTTGTATTACATAAAAACATTTACCAGGGAATGTCTTAATTCATTATTCAGCACACATTTGTGGAACGGCTGCCGTTCAGAGCATGAAGGGTGAGATGCAGGCAGAAGCATTATGGAAAGTCACAGAGAAAAGGGGTCAGGAGAGGTCATAGCTGCCCGAGTTGTTTTCCAGAAGGGATGCTATGATTAGGCCTTACCCTGTCTTTGTGGACACTTCATGATTCCCTTCTAAGTTCATTTCTCAGCTCACCGAATATATCCAGTGTTCTGTAAACACAACTCACACGTTCTTCCTTCCCTTTATTTCCTTTGGTGCTTCTTTGTGCTGTTTCCCCCATATCTGTGTCTCCAACTGCTGTGCATTCTTCAAGTCCAAACATCATCACCAGCTTTTCAATTAAGCCTTCTTTGATATGCTTGAATAGGAGTCATTCTTTATTTTGAACCCGTACAGCGTCTCGTCTTACCTGTCTTACGGTAACACCAATGTTTTTTTTTTTTTTTTTGGCCTTGTATTGACATTATTTATCTATTTATTTACTCTCCAGACTTGTAAACATCGTCAAGGAAGGATCTACCCACAATTCGCTTTGAATTCTACACACTGTCGAGTCCATCACTTTGTATAAAGTAAGTACTCAGTTTTGGTAAATGAACCCATGGGCGAGTGGATGATGTGGATCTGGAGATGAGATGTGGATAAAAGGAGAGCAGGGGGTATTGTGGCAGGCTGGGGGAAAGAGGAGCACAAGATCCAGCATGCAGTCTCCCTTCCCGGATTGGCCCCTGGAATCCCCGATTTGCAAGAGGAGGAGGGGCCAGCGATGGAGGAGAGGCTCCATATAATTTGTGCACTCACGGATGGGGGGCGGAGTCTGGGGCGGCAGGACACTGGGGTGGTGGCCTGCATTGCTCCTGGGAAGACTGCAGCCTGTCCACGCTGAGTCCAGAGTGTTCCATACCAGGCAGTAGCTTGTGATTAGTATGCTGTCTGTGTTCCCGGACAGAGCAGATGTCTGTCTGCTTTTTTTCTGTTTAGTGATGATGGCAAGTTCCCAATGATCAAGATCCCGTTTCACATTTTCTGAAATGCCTTGGCTGAGAAATCCTGTTTAGCCCAGTTCTGAGGCCCAGCCTCCTTCTTTGCAGGAATCTTTGCAGATTCATGTGGACTGAGCGCCCGGTGGGCAGGGGTGGCCTCATCTAGCCTTGCTCAGATGGAACGGGTAGTGGGCAGGGGTGTGTTATAGGCACTGTCTCTCCGTAAGGATATTTGTTTGTTCTTCTGTATTCTTTTCCTCCAGCAAGAAGTAAAACGAAGACTTCTGCAGATCTTCTAAACCAATTGGTACAAGATAATATTTGGCATTTGAAATAGTTTCTTTTTATAAGTTTATTTTTGGAAGGGGAAATATATTAGCTGCTACTTTAGTGATTAGTGAACAAGTCAATTAGATCCTTTCCTGTAACAGATTGATTTTAGGGGTCCGCTGGTAATACAGATTGAGAGTCTGAAAAGCTGCCCCAAGATCTCAGAGCAATATATTTCCATAATTTTTTTTCCTGTGTTCCGTCCCCAGAACTTTACTGAGATATAATTGGCGTGTTACATTGTTTAAGATGTACAACGTGTTAAATTGTACACTTACATATTGCAAAATGATTACCACCAGAGCATTAGCTAATACTTCTATCATTTCACATAATTACCATTTCTTTTTCTGGTGAGAACATTTAACATTTATTCTCGTAGCATCTTTCAATATACATATACAATATAGTACAGTATTATTAGCTATAAACATCATGCTGTGCACCAGATCCCAGAACTTATTCGTCTTATCACTGGAAGCTTTGAACTTTTTACCAACATCTCCCTATAGCCTCCACTCGCCAGCCCCTTGTGCTAGGTTTTATTGAGATTCACAAATACATAGATTCTGTCCCCCAGAGCTTCCTAATCTAATCTGGCCCTGGAAATAAGTCATGCTTGTAAATAATTATGATACAAGTATCCTAGGAGAGAAACAGATAAGTTGCTGTGGGAGTTGAAAGAATTGAGAAATTACTTCTGATATGTGGATAAATGAGGTAAATCTTAGAAGACTTTGAAAATAGTATGTCCAATGACCTGGATCTTGAAATACAAGTGAGATTTTTAAACTTTTGACTATAGGGAGGGAACGCAGAGATGGGACTGGAAAAATGCCCAGTGTGGACCCCCTTGTAGGTCTAGAAATCAATAAAATTTTACTTCATTTTCCAATTAGATTTGAAGTTTCTGAAGTGTTTGTAACTCTTGGTCCTGGCACATGTTGGTGCACTATAAATGCTTGGTGATCATGGTAGTAGCTGCCTTCTGAAGTTTTATGTTCTTCGTGAAAGTGGAGACAGGATGTGTCAAGACTTAATCTTGAGTCATGGCTAATATTTGGAGGGAGAATCTTTTGAATCTTTTTTTTTGAAAGAGAGAGAGTGTGCGAGTTGGGGAGGGGTGGGAGGGAGGGAGGGGGAGAGAGAGAGAGAGAGAGAGAGAGAGAGAGAGAGAGAGAGAGAGAGAATCCCAAACAGGCTCCAGTCTCAGCTCAGAGCCCACAGGGGTCTATCCCATGACTGTGAGATCATGACCCGAGCTGAGATCAAGTGTTCAAGAATTGAACACTCAACTGACTGAGCCACCCAGGCGTCTGGAGACTGTTATAACCAGTTGGTACGATGTGAGAACGGGCTGGAGTGTGTGTGTGTGTGTGTGTGATATACACATGTCGAACACAAGGATTCAAGGTTTTAAATGTGGAAATTAATTTCAGGTGTGCTTTGTGATCACTACAGAGAGGTTGTCATACTTTGGCTTCAATGTCAAGGATGAGGTTATTATTTGAGACAGAAATTAATAAATGGGTAGATGATAGATAGACTAAGCATAGCAGCATGTGGGTATGGATATGTTAGAGATACTTTGTAAGTAGGACCCTACTTTGTAAGTAGGTTGATTCTCAAAGAGCTAAAACCCATTCAGTTGCCTTCTGGGTAGGTCATGGCTAAGCAATTCAGCATTGCTTCGTGGGTGGAAGAAAAGTGTTCATTCCCTTTGTTCTAAACCTTTGCTAACCAAGCAGTCTTCTGATTTATGATGAAGGATAACCTGAGCCAGGTACACATCTCTCAGGCTCACTCCTACAGCCTTAGGCAGCTTCTAAAATCATTTCAGACTTAGGTGTTCAGTTTTGAACCCTAAGAAAAACTGACAGGGCCTGAGCTTACTTATAAGTAACTGGTTCATGTTTAAAGTTGCTGGTGATCCATAAAATGATGCTGTTTGGCATCTTGCCTGCTGGAAGGGATTTTATGTGACAGGACACAAAATTGGCTGACATGTAGGAATACTGTGATTTCAAGGGCTCTAGGGAAGATCGTTGCTCAAAAAAGTCTTTCTCCAACTTCTACCTAATTTCACAAATATTCCAAAGTATCCTCCTTCTAGTATGTAGCTTTCTTCATGTTAAATTCTCTAAGAGTGGTTGATAATTATTTATATCTGTTAGTCAATAAAGGGTCTGGGATCATTGAAGAGAATGGCCACAAAATCAACAGGACCAGAGAAGAAATTTTGGGTTAAAGGTAGATAACTCCTCTGTCTTTTTTTTTGTGGTAAATTTAAGACTGTCAGTACCAACCATATCCTATTTATACTATTTAACGGTGTTAATAGTGTAGCTCAAAATGCTTGATAATGTCCCTACCTCTTTGGGAACAAGTAACTAAGGACTTTTTCTAAGTTCTGTCTTACAGTATTAACCTGACAATCTAATGAAGAAATTCTTTGAGCTCTTGCAGGAGAAACAAAACATAGTTTTATCATTTAAAATGACTAAATGTGTGCTATAGCTTCTTTTTCTCAGGGCTCCAGCTTGGCTGGCTGCGCACACACGCCTTAAAAAAGTCCACCTAATAAAATGGCAGACTTTGTCTAAGTAGCTTCTCTAAATTCTGGAGGAATCAATGCCAATGCTTTAGATTGTTTCTGTTGAGACAAGTCTTGTGCATAAGCTGGATGGGTTTTTTTTTTTTTTTTTTTTTTTAAGCAGGTGTCCAAATATCTGAATAGAATACTTGGTCCTTCAAAATATTCAGACAATGAAAATATCAAACCTATTTCATAATAAATAGCAATTTAATTAGATTTTAGAGGAATAGTCCAGAGACAAGGCTGTTAAATTTAATGGGGACACATTTTCAAAAGGAGGTAATCAGTGATGTCTAGAGAGACATCTGTAAGATTTCATCACTAGTTAGAGAGAAAACTTTACCTAAGACCCACGATTCCTGATTCATAGGCTAGTTCTATTTCCACTGCTTCCTGGTGTGGTGTCTGATTCATTTGTGTCACACTGAAGAGGGAGAGGGTGTCATTAGTCATGTTTTTCCCAAGGCCGACTGAAACCTGATGTAATAAAAACAGTACAGGAGACTTACGTGTCACTATTATGATGCCCATATGACAACCAAGCCCATAATGGAGAAATGGAACTTTGGGGGACTGTTTCCTCTATCTGGAAGCAGCAAATTTGAAGAGCAGTTTGATTTGCACGAGTTAGAAACGGTGCTGTTAACTTGGCTTGTCAGAAATAACGACTGTGGATACATAACACGATCTAGCTTGGGTACTCTGGTTTTCACAGGCCCAGAAGTTGGACACTGAATTTTGGAAGTTAGAGAAGAAAGATTATTGTGATTTATTTATTTATTTTAATGCTTTGAAATTCTATCAACCTAATTTACCCAGTCCTGAGGAGTTAGTTTAGCTGCTTTAACAACCATCCCACTGGAGAATCATTTGTTCAAGATTGAAAACAGATAATAGGTTACTTGTGAAAAATTACAACTACAGATTACACTTAGAAATCCCTACATATGAGAAGGGTGTGTGGTTTGATGTTACCCAGTAAGCGACTAATGCCATAATGTGACTCCTGTAAAATGACCATGCCCTACCCCCTCATCACCAGCCTTGCTTCCTCTGGAGAGGGACAGAGCCTTTGGCTTGCTCTTGATGGGGAGGAGGACTGAGGGAGTAGAGCAGACTTCAGCGTCTCATGCCTATGAATTCCTACTTTGTAGTGTTGGAGTTTTGAGGGTAGAGGGTTTGGGTGAGGAAGGGAAGGCACATGGAGGGAAGATGTGTCCTGCCCTGTTGGGCCCGCCTTAAATTCCAGGGATGCTCAGTCAAGAATTTGACAATAGTAAGAGCCCCAGGCAGGCAATTATGCAATATCTAATGTTCCTAAGCTATTGTACTTATGTTAATCATACAGTCCTGGAACAGGAAGTGTGTTTGAAATGTTGGACATAATTTAAGCTAAGTAATTTTGCATTCAGTCTGTTCTCTGCCAAAGAGGAAGCTCAGGCTGGTGGCCAGACCAACCCTTGGAAGGGAACTAAGGGACAACTGAGGGGATCAGATTTTAACTTTCAGTGTGTTAGGTTCTTCCTCTGAGTGGAGCAGAGGAGACGTGGGGGGAGGGGTGAGCGGTCAGCTCCGGAGCTACCCAGAAAGTAGAGTGAAAGCTATTCAAAGTAGTAAGTAACCCCCTGTCCATTCCCACTCCAATGTCAGAGCATCTAGGCCT